CCCCACCCCAAATATCTCATGCCATTTAGGGACATGCCCGCTCAAGAAAGGCCTCACTTTGGGTGAAAGGTTAATTATTAAATGGCGAGAAAAGAAACATGAGCCAATTAGAAAAACAATGAGCGCTGAGCAGATAAGGGGAGCTAAAAATTAAGTGCCCGTTTTACGTAACCGGTGCAAGTTGTCCTCTGTGGGAAGCTTTTTAAAACTGGGGGAAACGAGCATTAAAACGCTGAAACTATTTCTGTGGGCAGGATATAAAACTTTTATTATATATATTAAAAGTTGAAACATTAACTTTTGGGCCCACAAGGCCGGAAGGCAAATAGCTATTAGTTATTGACCATTGTCCAATACAACCGATGTCAGAGAAAACGACAGTCCTCCATTTACAACATTCATTTAGTGCCCGTTCAAAGTTATCCTGGAAAAAGGGAGTTATTTTCCACACTTAATGACCGTAGCGGAAGCCCCATGATCACATGATCCGAATCCAGATGCTTGGCAACTGACTCGTATTTATGACATTTGCGGGGTCCCTGAGTCACGTGACACCTTCCTGCACACACACACTTTTGCGACCTACCGCCAAGCCAAGTTAAGGGGGAAGCCGGATTCGTTTAACAACCCTGTTATTCGCTTAACAACGGCAGGGGATTCACTTAACAACTCTTGACAAAGAAAGGTGGTAAAATAGGGGCAAAACGTGCTTAACGGCCGTCTCACTTAGTGACGGAAATGTTGGGCTCAATTCTGGTCGTCAGCCGAGGACTCCCTACAGATGGGATGATTCGTTCAGTTGAAATGCTACGGCGGCGGAAAGTCAGAAGCTGAAATCTTTACACGCCAAAAGAGATGGCAATCCAAATAAATAAATAGAATTTCAGGATCCTAACATGTCGTAGGCATGTCTTCCCTTCCCTTCCATTTGTTGTGCAAGGAATTTTGAAATCAAGATACGGGCGTACCATACAAGCCTAATATGTAAACCTGCTACATAAAAAGCATTGTTTCTTAATAATATTATTCCTCCCCTCAATACTTCCGGCCTTTAGAAACTGCTTTCAAAGAAGCTGTGGGGTGTAGGATTAATTTAGCTTCTCAAGTGAGGGCAGAATTTAAAAATATGCTTTCCAGGGTGTCATTAAAGTAATTTTAGGCTCTGAGCTTAATAGGCTTAACTGCCCACAAAGTTTCTAGATCTCTTTGTGTCGGCTATTGTACCAATTTGCTTCCTGGATTTCTTTTTTTTTTAAATCCTTTTGTTCCAGCCGAAACAAAAGAGAGTGGTATCCAAGCCTTTGAAAGCTACACTGATAATCATCTCTTGGTGTGTTTGTGAAAAATATATATATATATATATCTGCAGACCTCAAGTGGCACTTCAGGTATTTAAAAGGGATGGTTTTTCTGGTTTGATGATGCCACGAGAGTCTGACCCACTGCAAATATTGACTTTCCAGAGGTGTTTAGAATGAAGAATCATCGGGCTGGAAGGGACCTTGGAGGTCTTCTAGTCCACCCCCACCCCCACCCCCACCACTCAAGCTGGAGACCCTAAACCAGGGGATCTGCAACCTTAAACACTCAAAGAGCCATTTGGACCCATTTCCCACAGAAAAGAAAACACCGGGAGCCACAAAACCTGGGTGGGCGGGGCTAACTTGACGTCACTCATTCTCACCCAGTCACATGATACCCTCCGCCATGTCTACCAGGTTTTGTGGCTCCCAGTGTTTTCTGTGGGAAATAGGTAACTCTCTCCTCTCCTCTCCTCTCTCCTCTCCTCTCCTCTCCTCTCTCCTCTCCACTCTCTCCTCTCCTCTCCTCTCCTCTCCTCTCTCCTCTCCACTCTCTCCTCTCCTCTCCTCTCCTCTCCTCTCCTCTCTCCTCTCCACTCTCTCCTCTCCTCTCCTCTCCTCTCCTCTCCTCTCCTCTCCACTCTCCACTCTCCTCTCCTCTCTCCTCTCCACTCTCTCCTCTCCTCTCCTCTCCTCTCCTCTCTCCTCTCCACTCTCCTCTCCTCTCCTCTCTCTCCTCTCCTCTCCTCTCCTCTCCTCTCTCTCTCCTCTCTCTCCTCTCCTCTCCCTTCTCCTCTCCTCTCCTCTCTCTCCTCTCCTCTCCCTTCTCCTCTCCTCTCCACTCTCTCCTCTCCTCTCCTCTCCTCTCCTCTCCTCTCTCTCCTCTCCTCTCCCTTCTCCTCTCTGACACCCGCCCTACACCATTCTGGACAAACACATGTCTAATCTTTTCATGAAAACCTCCAGTGATGGGCAGGAGTAAAAAAAGAGAAAGAATATAGAAATTATCCCCTTCCGGGACTAGATGAGGCAGTCACCTGGAGCCAACACTGACTCAAAGGCACACACCCTCTTACAAAATTGTGGGGCTCCACAACTTAGAGAAGAGGGGTAACACCACATCCATGGGGTGGGGGTGGGGGAGAGGACTTAACTCCTCAGAGGTATCGTAAATCATTCTCCACGCATTGACGTTGAACTGACCTCCTAGAAACTCAAAAGTTTGGGATGCACGTCTCCTGTTTCAGCCTCATGGCAACCTCGAAAGGGGTGGGGGGGTTGTCCCCCCCACCCCAAGTCAGATTTGGGAAGTGGGGGAATGATTTCAAGGCCAAGTATGAAGTTTTGCATCCATGCACCTTGCGTTAATGAAAGGTTATGGCTTTCCGGAAGAACCTTGCTTGTTGGCCACACGATGGTGAATCATCACTTCACAGATCGCGTGGGAATGGGTGTGGCTGTCATCAGCTGGCTTGGGTGCCCCCTTGCCCATCTTTTTACAGCCCTTTGGAATGTGGTAACTCTGTTGGTACAAGGTTGGTTTTTTTGGCTGAAGGCCACCAGCTCAATCAACTTATTTGATTTTCCATGTTTCTATATATAGAGGTAGACACAACTGTATAAACAAGAATGTTCAATAGATGAGATCAAATGGGGAGCTAATGTCCTTTGGTGACTTTTTCTGACTCTTTTCTTTATGTCCAAAGGGTTAAATCTTGGCTGCCAGCCATTTATTTGAGACGACCTCGAAGCCTGACAGAACGTTTAGTTGCTATTCAACTTAACATCTAAGCATCCATAACCTTTATTTTTATTCTCCTTTTCCTTCTCCTTCTCCTTCTCCTTCTCCTTCTCCTTCTCCTTCTCCTTCCTTCCACTTCCTCTTCTTCTTTCTCTCGTCTTCCTCCTCCTCTCCTTCTCCTTCTCCTTCTTCCTTCTCCTTCCTTCTCCTTCCTCCTCCTCCTCCTCCTCCTCCTCCTCCTCCTCCTCCTCCTCTTCTTCTTCTTCTTCTTCTTCTTCTTCTTCTTCTTCTTCTTCTTCTTCTTCTTCTTCTTCTTCTTCTTCTTCTTCTTTCTCCTCCTCCTCCTCCTCCTCCTCCTCCTCCTCCCCCCCACCTCCTCCTCCCTGCAGTTTCTCCAACTTCCTTAAAAACTAAGGGAAGAGAAACAGGGTAGTAGAATAGAAACACATTCTAGTTCACACACTAAGAATAATAATAATAATAATAACTTTATTGTCATTGTACATGTATACACGGTATACCCATACAACGAAATTCACTTAACACCCAAAGACCAGGTCCAACACACAGAACAATCCCCAAACCCACTCCCACCCACCACAAATTCCCCACCCCTAAACCACCCAAACATCCACACAACAGACCAAGTCATGCTGTCCAACAGCTCACCGATGGTGGCCCTTTAGTTCATTTGTTGAGTGCAATTATAGCTCTGGGATAAAAACTATTCGGAAAACGTGCGGTCCGAGTTTTAATTTTTCTGTATCTTCTGCTGGAAGGCAACAGTCCAAAAAGATTGTAAGCAGGTTGGGAAGAGTCTCTGAGAAACCGTGGGATGGGAAGAAACCTGTGAGAACTCCTGGGACCTGGCTTACCACATTTCAGCATACAGAATACAGGATTGCAGGCTAACTCTGCCCACTGTCAGGAGTTCGATCCTGACCGGCTCAAGGTTGACTCAGCCTTCCGTCCTTCCGAAGTCCGTCAAATGAGGACCCAGATTGTTGGGGGCAAAAGGCTGACTCCGTAAACCGCTTAGAGAGGGCTGCCAAGCGATATATAACTCTAAGGGCTATTGCTAAGCGCTATAAAAACTGTCACATTCTGCTTTTCCTTTGGACTCCACTGACGGATTGAAGGACTCTCATCTTTTATTGATTTGATTTTGGGGCCCTCTTTTCCGCCCTCCAACGAGACTGAGTAGAAGTGAGATTAGGTGCCGTTCTCTCCAAAAGAGTCTGCATTTTTTAATTTTTTTTTTTTTTTTGCAAACTGTTTTGCAAGCAGACAGGAACTTGCTTTAATTCCCAGGTTTATCAGACGAGGTTTTTCCTGAGCCCTCAAACCTCAAAAGCAGAACATAAACTGAAAAAAAAAAAAACCACTTGCATTTCCTTGATGCAATGATCACTACACTCAGCGTAATCGTGCAGTGTTTTCCGTGCTGCAATTTGCAGCCCAATTCGGACTTTTTCCCCCACTTCCCGCCCCCAGCAAATGAACGCAGGTGTCAGGAGCAAGAGGTTAATCCTTCCTTGAGCTAAGCTCCGTAGGCATCCCGGCTCTCTGAAAGTCTGGCATTGTTCTCCATGCAGCTGGGAAGAAAGGAAGGAGGCTGCAGGTCGTCTCCGTAAGTTGATGGCCTACAAAGATTTTGGTTGCAGCCTCGCAGGTGGTCAGCGCTGAGTTTCTAGTTGACGTGCCTAGGACAAAAGGAAATATGTGGCTGGAAGGAAAGCCACGAGTCACCTTAATTGATTTGGAATGCAAATGCAATCAAAGCCTAAATCGAGACCAGGAAAGGACCTCTCTTCTTCTCCCTTCCTGGCTTTGAGTTGGAGAAGCTGGCAACACAAACCTGTTTCCCATGAAGTAGGATGCCCAAATGCCAGGCAGAAGATCTCAGAAAGAGTAGGGAGGAGGAGGAGGAGGAGGAAGAGGAAGAGGAGGAGGAGGAGGATATATCTGGATTTCTGGAAGATGTTCTCCAGGATCCATACCACCACCAACCTGATTCATCACCCATCTGATTTCTAAAACCAGAAGAAACCTGACTAGATGTTAGATGTTAGATTAGATCTTCATGGCTGTTTGAGTTGGGAACTCCAACACGTTCCCGTTTTTGTCTTCTCAGAAATGGGCTCCAAGTGGAACAGCTGGTATCTCCGTGGGAGTCTGAGTCTTTTGGGTGTCTTTTCTCTCACTGCCCTGATCCTTAGCTTGGTGAGAATCCACAGCATCACGCAATCTTCTAAGGACAAGGTGAGTGTGCGAAGCGATAGGGGGACAATGTGGCACAATGCAGCGGTGAAATCTTCCCTGGTTTGTCACTGCCGGTGCCTGCTGTGCACGCACATACACAGTGCATGCCAAATGCACCCTGCGTGCATGCATACATAGTACATGCCAAACGCACCGTGCGCAGAAAAAGGAGGCTTGGGAAAGTAAGTAGAACAGCGAGGGGGGGAACAGCTATGCCGCGTGATTTAAAACAGCTGATTGTCGGAAATACCGGTTCGGATCAACCGGTAGCTTTTTTTTACGGCCCGAACCGGTGCGAACCGGTAGGATTTTACCGCTGGGACAATGGTTAAAGGACTGGATGAAGGTTGGGAAAGACTGAACTCCCGTCCAATTTGAGGTCATAGAAGGTTGATGTCTTTAAGACGTCTTCAGCAGTGGTGGGTTTCAAAAAATTTTACTACCGGTTCTGTGGGTGTGGCTTGGTGGGCAGGGCAGGGCTTGGTGGGTGTGGTTTGGTGGGCGTGGCAGGGGAAGCATACTGTAAAATCTCCATTCCCTCCCCACTCCAGGGGAAGGATACTGTAAAATCTCCATTCCACCCCACTCCAGGGGAAGGATACTGCAAAATCTCCATTCCCTCCCCACTCCAGGGGAAGGATACTGCAAAATCCCCATTTCCTCTCGACCAGCTGGGATTTGGGAGGCAGAGAATAGATGGGGGCAGGGGCAGTCAAAATTTTTACTACCGGTTCTCCGAACTACTCAAAATTTCTATTACCGGATCTCCAGAATTGGTCCGAACCTGCTGAAACCCACTTCTGATCTTCAGGTCCAAGAGAAGAAAGACAGAATATTTATCTAACAATTAAACGAACGGGTAGATACATACATTTATTGGAATGTGCTGGTTGAACTCTGGAACATGGCCTTCACAAGACCAGATGTCTAAACCGTTCCATTTCACGCCACTTTTTGAAAACGTTTGAATTGCATTTTTTAAATACACGGGATGTAAGTTCATTATTTTTCACCGTAGGGCAGAATTTCACAAAAGTTAGTTCCTTTTTCGTTTAAATTCACGAATGAACACATAAATTTTCATGGAGTTTTCTAACAAAAATGGCGTTTCCCCGAACAACGTTATATCTTCATTTTTCTGTTATAAAAGCATATTGTACAACTGAGACCTGTCTGTTATAATAGCTAGGACAGATTTCCAAGTTGAGAGATGCCTTAGCTTTGGCTCTTATTTGCAGAGAACACGATAAGGCGTTCTTATATCTGACCTATTTTATTTTTGAATGACTCCTTTCCAGTATGGCTTGGTATTTGATGCAGGTTCATCGCACACGTCCCTCTTTCTATACCAGTGGCCGGAGGAGAAGGAAAATAATACGGGCATGGTTAGCCAAAAGTTCTCCTGCAATGTCAAAGGTCAGTTTTCCCCTCCCCCATTATTCTGAGACGTATTATGGTGTCTGTGGGTGGTGAGACAGCGTACTCAATAGCAAAGAATATACATTACCAAACTAGGTACCGTCATCGGAGTAGCACTGATGGTGTTACTTAGTTGGGTAATGAAATCTCTGCAAGAAAACAAGCAAGCTCAGAGAGCTCCTCCTCTTCTTCTCCTTCTCCTTCTCTTCTTCCTCCTTCTCCTCCTCCTCCTTCTCCTCCTCCTCCTTCTCCTCCTCCTCTTCTTCTCCTTCTCCTCCTCCTCTTCTTCTCCTCCTCCTCCTCCTTCTCCTTCTCCTTCTCCTCCTCCTCCTCTTCTTCTCCTTCTCCTTCTCTTCTTCCTCCTTCTCCTCCTCCTCCTTCTCCTCCTCCTCCTCCTTCTCCTCCTCCTCCTTCTCCTCTTCTCCTCTTCCTTCTCCTTCTCCTTCTCCTCCTCCTCTTCTTCTCCTTCTCCTCCTCCTCCTCCTCCTTCTCCTCCTCCTCCTCTTCTCCTCCTCCTCCTCCTCTTCTTCTCCTTCTCCTTCTCTTCCTCCTCTTCTCCTCCTCCTCCTCTTTCTCCTCCTCCTTTTCCTCCTCCTCTTCTTCTCCTTCTCCTCCTCCTTCTCCTTCTCCTTCTCCTCCTCCTCCTCTTCTTCTCCTTCTCCTACTCTTCCTCCTCCTTCTCCTCCTCTTCTTCTCCTTCTCCTCCTCTTCTTCTCCTTCTCCTCCTTCTCCTCCTCCTCCTCCTCCTCCTCCTCCTCCTCCTTCTCCTCCTCCTCTTCTTCTCCTTCTCCTCCTCCTCTTCTTCTCCTCCTCCTTCTCTTCTTCCTCTTCTCCTCCTCCTCCTTCTCCTCCTCCTCTTTCTCCTCCTCCTTCTCCTCCTCCTCTTCTTCTCCTTCTCCTCCTCCTTCTCCTTCTCCTTCTCCTCCTCCTCCTCTTCTTCTCCTTCTCCTACTCTTCCTCCTCCTTCTCCTCCTCTTCTTCTCCTTCTCCTCCTCCTCTTCTTCTCCTTCTCCTCCTCCTCCTCCTTCTCCTCCTCCTCCTCCTCCTTCTCCTTCTCCTCCTCCTCTTCTTCTCCTTCTCCTCCTCCTCTTCTTCTCCTCCTCCTTCTCTTCCTCCTCTTCTCCTCCTCCTCCTTCTCCTCCTCCTCTTTCTCCTCCTCCTTCTCCTCCTCCTCCTTCCCCACTCCCTCCTCCTCCCCCTACTCCTCCCTTCTAGCATGGATGCTGTTACCTAGTTTGGTAATGAAACATTTGCAAAAAAAAACCTCAAGCCAGCTCAGAGAGCAGCAAGGACCCCCCACCGTTCAACTCTGCATATTCTTTCTAGAGAATAGACAACCCAACTCTATTGTTGTATTTTAATGTCTTATCTCTACATCTAATATCCATTCCATCCTCCTTAGTAATTTTAGCAGGAGTCGTAATATCCTAAACCTATCCTTGAATAACTCCAAAGACTTGCTTGGAAGCTGGTCAGATCTGGAGCTGGATGAGAACTGCTCAAGATCTGGAACACCGGATCTCACCTCGTTTTTGGTCACTGCAGGACCTGGAATATCCAGCTATGCCAATAACCCTCCGAAGGCTGGTACTTCTCTACGGGATTGTCTGAACGCAGCCATGAGTGTTATCCCCCCAGAAAGACAGCAAGAGTCGCCAGTTTATTTGGGAGCCACAGCGGGCATGAGGCTACTCAAGTAAGAAGACTTGGCCGGCAAATACATTTCAATTATAAATAAAAATAAATAAAGGGTAGACAAACATGGTGTGAAAGCCAGGTTTGTTTAATCGTGGTTTATTCATGCCAACAGAACTGGCTGGCTTTAGAAACTTATAACAAAGAAAATATATATTTTGTCAGCACTTCAAGCTGCATTTACTTTAGTGCTGACATAAGAAGGAGAAGCGGAGGCGTCTGGAAAGGGACGTTTGACTTTTCACCTACTTATTTTCCCTGGAGATAATATCCCCTAGGAGATGGGATGGGAGGGGGGAAATTCCCTTGAGCTGGAGCAGTAGATTAGGGTAGAGTGACTTGGAAGATGGCCAATGAGTGCAGGGGAGTGGGGAACGGAAAGGGAGGGTTTTGGGTCTGGAAGTCAGTGTTGGCTGTGATGGAGTCGGATTTAGAATGTCGTGCTTAATAAATGGGAGTTTTTCATCAAAGACTTTGTTTGAAATGCAATTTATTTATTTATTTATTTATTTATTTATTTATTTATTTTATTAAATTTCTATACCGCCCTTCTCCCGAAGGACTCAGGGCAGTGAACAGTCAGAAGATAAAACACAGGAAATACAAAATCTAAAATAAATTAAAACAAATTAAATAATTTAGGCTGAATTTTAAAATACCCCATAATTAAACAGATTAAAAATTTATTTGAGACGACCTCGAAACCTGACAATTTAATTATCCAGCTATTAACAGCAGCTAGAATTGTATTTGCACAATATTGGAAAAGTGAAGAGAGATTCCTACTGAAGAGAAGGTGATTAGGAAAATATTAGAATGTGCAGAAATGAATAGAGTAACACTAGCAATGAAAGAGAAAGAACAAACTGAGTATTATATGATAGGGGAAGCAATTTTACCAATGGTTAGAGAATAAAAAAAAGGAAACTGGCAATAAAGGAAGAAGACTAAGAATAAGAATAGAAAATATATTAAAATAGAGATAAGAATAAAATGGCAATTGATAATATGAGTACGATGAGAAGAACTATGCTTAATGTCATTATTGTATCTGTACTAGAAGATATCTTATGAAGGAAATGAAGAGTTACACAAGGTATAATTGTTTAATGTATATAATTTGTGGAAGGATGTTGCACAGAAATATTTTTACTTTCACTGTTTAAGGAGAGGTGGATTGTTTATATATGTTTTTATATATGTTTTTATTTCATCAAGCTGGCGTGGCCTAAATCTTCTCCCCTTTTAAATATAAATTTTAAATACAAATTTTAATCTGTTTAAATTATGGGGTATTTTAAATTCAGCCAAATTATTTAATTTGTTTTTTAATCTATTTTAAATTTTTGTATCTCTGTGTTTTATCTTCTGGCTGTTCACCGCCCTGAGTCCTTCGGGAGAAGGGCGGTATAGAAATTTAATAAAATAAATAAAAATAAATAAATAATGGGAAATAAATAAAAAAACTTATTTTAAAAAAAATGAACTGGCGGGCTTTGCACCCTAACAGCCTCCGTAGCACTTTCTAGTCCCAGTTATGGCTGTAAATGGAGGGTTATTTCTATGTTTCTAGTCCTCGTGAAGGCAAAAAGTCTAACTCCCATCTTTTAAATTTTTTAATTTGTGATTTTATAAATTGGGTGTTTTAATCTGTGTTTCGGCCGAAATATTTAATAATTTTAAGGGATTTTTTTAATATTTGTATTATCTGTATTTTATCTTGGCTGTTCACCGCCCTGAGTCCTTCGGGAGTAGGGCGGTATAGAAATTTGATTATTAAATAAATAAATAAATAAAAAGTCACGCTTTTTCTGTGTGAACGATTCCACCCTGCAGGATGCAGAACGAGTCGGCAGCCACGCAGATCTTGGAGGCCGTTTCCCAAACGATCCAGAAATATCCTGTGAGTTTCCAAGGTGCTCGGATTATCAGCGGGAAGGAGGAAGGTGCTTTTGGCTGGATCACCATCAATTACCTGCTGAATTCTTTCACCCAGGTAGGACTGGATTCAGGGAAAGCGAAGCCAAAGCCAAAATAGCCAAGGAGAGAAGCAACCTAGAACTAAGGAGAAATTTCCCGACAGTTAGAACAATAAACCAGTGGAACAACTGGCCTCCAGAAGTTGTGAGTTCTCCAACATTGGAAGTTTCCAAGAAAAGATTCTCCAGGATGGTAAAAGTGAAGAGAAGGACCAGGGGAGACAGGATAGCAGTCTTCCAATATTTGAGGGGCTGCCATAGAGAGAAGGGGGTCAAGCTGTTTTCCAAAGCACAAGGAAGAAAGAAAGAAAGAAAGAAAGAAAGAAAGAAAGAAAGAAAGAAAGAAAAAGAAAGAGGGAGGGAGGGAGGGAGGGAGGGAGGAGGAGGAAGGAAGGAAGAAGAAGAAGAAGAAAGAAAGAAAGAAAGAAAGAAAGAAAGAAAGAAAGAAAGAAAGAAAGAAAGAAAGAAAGAAAGAAAGAAAGATATCTGAGTGAACCATAGTTGGACAGGAGACATGGCTAGTCTAGTGAAGAGAAGGACCAGGGGAGACAGGATAGCAGTCTTTCAATATTTGAGGGGTTGCCCCAGAGAAGAGGGGGTCAAGCTATTCTCCAAAGCACTTGAAGGCCAGACAAGGAATAATGGATGGAAACTGATCAAGGAGAGATTCAACTTGGAAATCTTTTCTTTATCTTTATCTTTATTCCAATTTCTACACCGCTCTTCTCCTTTCGGACTCAGGGCGGTGAACAGCCAGAAATAAAACATTTTATATACAAAAGTTAAAATAAATTTAAAATAATTAAATAAATTTGGCCCATTAATTTAAAACATTCCAATTCAAAGCCATATCAAAATTTATTAAAACCAATCATAAAATCAGGAAATCAGGAGGAATTTTCTGACAGGGAGAACAATCAACCCCATGGAAGAGAAGTTGCCTTCGGAAGTTGTGGGAGCTTCATCCCTGGAAGCTTCCAAGAAGAGACCGGAACTGCCACCTGCTTGGGTGGGTGGGTAGGGGTTGGATTAGATGACCTCCAAGGGTCCCTCCCAACTGTGTGATTCTATTCTAATCTTCTCTCTGCAGTACTCTGCCAAAGAACGAGACTGGATCCGTCCTCCCTCAGCCAATATCCTGGGAGCTCTGGACCTCGGCGGAGCCTCCACCCAAATCAGCTTCATCCCAGCCGGCCTGATCGCGGATCCATCCGAAGCCGTGGAGTTTCGCCTCTACGGCTTTAACTACACCATCTATAGCCACAGCTACCTCTGCTACGGCCAGAACCAAGCCTTTCAACGGGTGATCCGGTTGATCCTTGTAAGTTAACCTGAGGGTAGCTTGGAAGCCACCAGCAAGGCAAGGGTGGGGAGATTAAGGAAAGCAGGAGAAGAAGGAGGAATTTCCTGACAGTGAGAACAATTAACCAGCGGAACTCCTTGCCTCCAGAAGTTGTAAATGTTCCATCACAGGAGGTTTTTAAGAAGAGGTTGGATAACCATTTGTCTGAAGCGGTGTAGGGTTACCTGCCTAAGCAGGGGGGTGGATTAGAAGACCTCCAAGGTCCCTTCCAACTTTGTTATTCTGTAAGTCTGTAAATTGAGAAGATTCCTGTCTTTGAGGGTTTAGCAATAGATCGGTTTAACTGGACCTTCGAC